AATCTGTCTCACAATATTGAAAAAATCATAACACGCACCGTGAAGTGGCTCTCTCTTTGTGTATCTCATCCTACCCGTGTAATGGTTGTATCAATTTATAAAAAAATATTCATGCAACCCTAGTTACATTTAATTAAGTACTTGAAGAATATGACTATCTATTTTCAAAATATTGCCTTTCCATAATCTTTCTTGTTCGGCCGCCAAAGTGCTCTGTAAATGCACCAATTTTCTTGCAAAAATGTGCTTATTTATAACATAAGCCCCAAATCTTCTATATGGGCTTCCGACTTTGGTCATCCGCACCGACATCGATGACCAGCCACATTTTTTCTCCACATCAACATCAGACTCCTCAATGCCTCAACCATTGTTTGAACCATGCAATTGAATTGGAATGTTGAATGATAGTCAATTGTGTATACGAGGATGCTATAATTTTAGTATTGATAAGGATGTAATCATACGATGAATTTCTAATTGTGAAAATGCGTATGCTAAATTTGTAATAATGTATTGAATTATTTTCATCAATGCTATGTTGCTTAAAAATATATATATAACTGAATTTTTGATCCAAAATAAAGAACGTCTGGTTTCATTACTAGATGTAGCAATAATTAATATTCAAACATAATGCAATTATTTGCTTGCATTAGTGAAAGCGTTATTACTTCCAATCTACCCCCAGCCTAATCAGCCCTTTTGTCCCTACTTAATTGTTTCTTGCCTTCTATTACCAACTTATTTTTAGAATAATGTTACTCAAACTGGGATTGCAAATAGGGACACGGACCTGTGTGGCTAAGTTTTTCTTTCTTTTTTTTTTTTTCAAATTTTTCAATGATGTTGTTTTTAATCCCTGTCATTGAACATGTTTGTGTAGCATGATTGTTATTTTTATGGCTACTTATTTGAGTTGGTGCCAATACTTAATGAACTTATTTACAAAATAAGCCTAATATAATTACTATTTTAAGTTCCAGATAAGTACTTCAATATAAATAAGCCATGCCCAGTACCATACCAAATATAATATTCTTAATCACTTTCAACCTTATCAATCTCCATATGAGATTCAAACATAGCTATTGATGTGAAGGCCACAAAGTTTTGTTCACCTTCACCACTAGAGGAATCACTCTGAGCACTCGAATCTGATTCATCATCACTCAAGGTCACTGCTAAAGCTTTACATCTTTCGTTATTTGATCTCTTTTTCAAGTTAGGACATCCATTCTTTTAGTGACCGTAACCTTGACACTCATGGCATCTAACAAATTGTGTTTTCTTAATGGGAGTCCTAGAGTCATAACCCTGACGCTCATGGAATCTAACAGATTGAGTTTTCTTGATGGAAGTCTTAGAGGTATTTTTCTCATGTCTATCTTTCGAGAATCTACTAGGGATTTCATTTTTACGTTCTTGAGGCTTTCTTCTATTCTTCATCACCTTCTGAAATTTTTTAATGAAATAAGCTATTTCGTTGTCCCTAAACGTCTCAGCATCAATAACCTCACTCTCTTCTTCTCTAATCTTATTCATGGTTATGGATTTTACCTTTTTAGGTTCAGAAATGGTGAGTTCATAGATTTGAAGGGATCCTACGAGTTCTTCAACTTTAACAGCATCTAAGTCCTTGATTTCTTCAATTGTGATGACTTTAGGTCTAAACCTTTAAGGATGGGATTTAAGGACTTTTCTAACTATCTTTGACTCTGGAATCTTCTCACCTAGCTTAAAACTTGAATTAACTATGTCATGCAACTTCGCATAGAATTCATCGAACGATTCATCGTCCTTCATTCTAATTTCTTCAAACCTAAAGGTTAACATCTGCAGTTTAGAATTTTTAACAGTTTTAGTTCCCTCGTGTATGGTTTCTAAAATGTCTCAAACTTCATTAGCAGTTTTACACATCGAAACTCTCCTAAACTCTTCAGTAGACACAGCCATGAACGGGGCATGAATGCCCTTACTGTTCTAGTTACACTCAGCTAGATCATCTTTAGTCCATAATGAAATATCAGTGGGTGTAACTACACCAGCAATAATAGTTGAAGGTGGAGTCCACCCGGTTTGAACGCTAATCCAAATACATTCATCCAAAGCTTTAAGGATGCCTCTCATTCGAACTTTCCAGTAAGCATAGTTGCTTCCGTAGAAAAACGGAGGCATAGACAATAACTGACTCATCTAGAATTTATTAAGGGTTAAGAATCGAATTAAGGCTCTAATACTAGTTCGACCTTAACAACACCTGGGGGGTGAATAGGTGATAATGCGGAGTTAAAAATTACTTAAAAATTAAATAGAAACAAGTCACTATTAATTAATTTCTAGATGGTTAAGCATGCAATTCAATTATTCATATGTTGAAATACCCCAGTTAGTAAGTAATAAACGAACACAAGAATTGATCGCGGAGAAACTCAACTGGGTAAAAACTCTGGGCACTTTGCCAATCAACAATCCACTATGAACGATTTATTACTTACAATCTACCAGACTAGAAGACGACACGTACTATCTGATCTTGAATTCTATGCTCCTGTACCAACTCCCAGCTGCAGTTTCCAAAGCTCTCCTGGATTGCGCTCTCCTGCAACAACTCCCAACTTTGTGAAATCGTCTATCTCATGTGGATGCACGAAGAGTTCTTCAACGACCGGAACTCTAGTCACCTTCCATTGATCTTCAAAAACTCTGACAGATATGAAGGAGGCAGCAGTTTGGTATTTGGATTATGAATATGATGTTTTTCTCACCAAAAATCAATAGCAGGATGAAAGTTAAAAGCACAATATAGGAAGATGATCTCAATGGAATGTGTTTCTCTCAATAATCAAACCTTGTGAAACCGTTCTGTAATGTTTGGATATTTATATATAGGTTAGGGAATGAATGGGTTGGACAAAAAGCCTTTAAAAAATGAAATAAAAATTTCCTTAATAACACTGTCGCTCGAGGGAAGGGTCATCGACAATCGAGCGACAGGTTGTAGCTCGAGCAAAGGCGAGGCGACAATAGAGCGATGAAGTTTCTGTTTCTGACGCTTGAGCCAAACCTTGGCGAAAAGCTAGCGAAATTTTGCGCCGTTTTTCTTTCTTTCCCATTCTCGAACCCTAAACCTAAAATATCATAACTTTCACTAATTGCACACTACTCCTTGATTTTTTACAACATATCAACTTTAGTTCTTTTTGTTCACAAATTTGCTAATTACATTAAGGGCTTGTTTGGTAACACTAAAAATCCAATTAAAATTGAAAATATAGCCGTTATTGGGTCTCACACATCTAATAAAAGTCAACAATAACGGCTAATTTTTCAATTTTAATCCGATTTTAATCTCTACCAAACACACTCTAAATACCTAACAGATTTAAACGAGGGCTATATATTATTCTCTATTTCAGCTTTTTGTTAATTTGATAGTTTTAGAAAGAGATATTGAGGGAGAATTAAAAAGAGGCTCACATTGCCCAAATAAAGGCCACACGTGAAAAATAATTTTAAGCATCAATTACGTAGCTCATAAATATATTGGTGGATTAACTTATGGTGGAAGTCAACATTTGAATTAATTTTAAAATCTACCAATGAACTTATATGACATGCCACCGGTGCTTAGCATAAGATGAGCACTATGCCCATTAGATCTCTTAGGATGAAATGAAAAGAGGTGATGTTCCTAAAACAATACAATGTTACATGAAAGAAACTGGTGCTTTTGAAGACGAGGCACGCAAACACAGTTCTTCGATACGTGATGGATTTTAAAGAAGACCAAATTTATAGTAGACATTTACAGGAGTGTTCTCAACTAAAACTTTAAGGGATTTTAAAATATTATAAATATTAATGAATTTGTGAATTTGAATAGATTTACACGAAATTCATATGAATCTCATTAAAATGGTGAAATTTCAAAAGGATTTGTTATGCGTATTTTTAAGATTGAAATCCATTCAAATCCTATAAAATTCCTTTATTAGTTAAACCTTTATGAATTTACGATGTATTGTGAATACCTACATTTTAAACGATTTCATTGAAATTCATTAAAATCTTAGTTGGAGATATCTAAATTTTAATAAAATTCTTTCAAATCTCAATTGCTGACACTTAAATTTAAAAGGACTTTTAAAATTCATTAAAATTTTGGTTGAACAGAGAAATTAAGAAATCTGCATTTCACTTGGTAGATGAAAAGGATGTTTTTGAAAAAAATGGTATTACACTTCCCACGTAACACTGGACAAATCCAATGACAAGTGGACAATTACTAGCTTCCCATCTAACACTTCCAGAAAGTGTGTGAACTATTTCTAGCGGACATCATTAATCACGTGAATGAATGTAACATATATCGTCGATCCCTATCAGCAGGTCACAGTATAAATAGAGATATTTTTTCTAATATCGATATTTATAATCCTCTCTACTATTAATCTAACCATTCATTCTAAATAATAGATAGGCAAAGTTTACTTTGTCTATGGTAGAGGAATATGTTTTTCATAAAACACGAACTTTTGATAATCTATTTTAATAGAATAAAAAAAACTAAACCATGAACATTCACAATAAACTTTATGGATACGTTTGATTGCGAGTATGGAATTTGTATGGAAAGAAAATAAATTTTAGACAACTCAATTGCCTAGAAATTATTAATTAAATGTGTTTGATTAATTTAATTTTCAACCTAGAAAATATTATACTTCTTTTATTGGTGAGTAAATGAAAAAGAGGGGATAGATGAGAGAGTGAAAGAGATAGTGAATTACCTGGAAAATAAAAATAATCTCTCCCTAAAAAAAGTTTCCTTGTTCTCAAGGAAAATATGGTCATGTAACCAAAAGTAGGAAATATTTTTCGTGGAAAAAATTGTAAATCAAACCGCACAAAAGTAGAAAATTGGGTAGAAAAAATCACATTTTTCATGAAAAATATTCACAATCAAACGCACTTGAATTGTCTCGTTGATTAAATAGTGAGTAAATAGAGAAGTGCAAGTTTCTCATAGTCCAAAACCATGAAAATATCCTTTGTAAAGTATTTTCAATCTATTATATGAACGGAGTTGCAGCCAAGAATGAACTAATTAATATGGTGTGAGTTGTGACAATAATAATTTTTCAATCTAATTCNTTGTGACAATAATAATTTTTCATTCTAATTCTTATAATTCTTATTATACCCATGTTTGGTGAGGATTAAATCAAATTTTTAGTAAATTTTGATAAAATATAACAAAATATGTGGTGAAAAGTTGTGAATCCCGTATAGTTAAAATTAATTATTGATTTTGATTTAAACAGGAGCTATATATATTATTCTCTATTTCAGTTTTTTTTTTTGTTATTTTGATAGTTTTAGAGAGATATTGAGGGAGAATTAAAAAGAGGCTCACGTTGCCCATATAAAGGCCACATGTTAAAAATAATGTTAAGCATCGATTATGTATCATATAAATATATTGGTGGATAAACTTATGGTGGAAGTCAACATTGAATTATGTTTAAAATCTACCAATGAACTTATATGACACGCAACTGGTGCTTAGCATAAGATGAGTGTATGTGCTGATTAGATCATTCCCGCTCTTATATAATCACATATCAACCATATAGAGTTGCAGGGAGTACGGTCTTATTCTAAGAAATCTCAATTCAATGGCTATTATGCAAATTGTGACGCCAATTTCTGTTTGCTCATTCAAAACAGAGATTTCAAAAATGGGGATCCGATTTGCTTTAGGTACAACTGCTGATAGCCTTGCTTCTCATGCTATACAATATCGAGTTCTTGCCACTACGTCTTGCAGTCAGACCGTGATTAGGCGATCAGGAAACTACAAGCCCCCTATATGGGAATTCGATTATATTCAGTCCTTAAACAGTGAATACGCGGTAATTATCATCATTTCCATAAAAAAAAAAAATCTCTCTTTTTTCTTGCAATCAGATTTTGTTTATGCATAATGTAGGGTGAGAGATACGTGATGCCGGCTTCTAAGCTGAAAATGCAAGTGAAGATGATGCTTGATAAAACGGTGGAGCCACTGGATCAGTTGGAATTCATTGATAATTTGCGAAGGCTGGGGATATCCTACCATTTTGAGAATGAAATTAAGCGAATCTTATCTGTGATCAACATAAAATATAGTAAAAATGATCGAGATTCAAATATTAAGGATTTATATGCTACAGCTCTGGAATTCAGACTACTAAGACAACATGGCTTTAATGTCTCTGAAGGTGCAAATCAGTTTCTTCCGTTCATTTTCATTCAATTTTCGTGCTTACAAGTGTCTTACACATGTCATGTTGAACACAGAGATATTTGATCGTTTCAAGAATGAGAAGGGTGAGTTCAAGTCGAGGCTCTGTGATGATATAGAGGGATTGTTACAACTATATGAAACTTCATTCCTTTCAATAGAAGGTGAAAGTACCCTAGAAATGGCAACAGAATTCACTATGAAACACCTTAATGATCAAACTAGTATCGATCAGTTCCATTCTCGATTGGTGCACCGTGGCTTGGAGCTTCCGCTGCACTGGACCATACCACGAGCAGAGGCAAGATGGTTCATAAACGTATACAAGGACAGGCCAGACATGAATCCAGTTCTGCTCGAGCTTGCTGAATTGGATTTCAACATTGTTCAAGCAAAATATCAGCAGGAACTAAAACATCTCTCCAGGTATTTATTGATAAGATGCTCTATTCACTCAAAGACAAATTGACATGACTACTGGTCTTCAATCAGAGACAACTCAATAGGGAATTTGATGGAGACAAACAGTCTCTCCTGAACAAATTTGCCTTTAACTTTACCACTACTAACTTTTATTACGGTGGGAGAAAATGTGTATAAATCCTACACAAATAAATTTGCACATTTCTATCTCTTTTTTCATTTTAAATGCGTGGGCCAAATATATTGAATTTTGATGTCTGGACGTTACAAATGTTTTTGCTTATTTCCTTCTGCGTTTTCCATGAATAGGTGGTGGAAGGGAACGTGCCTTGCCGAAAACTTGTCCTTTGCAAGGGATAGGCTGGTGGAATGTTTCTTTTGGACTACTGGGATGATATTTGAACCTCAATATGAATTTTGTCGGAAAATATTGACGAAGGTCATTGTTTTAGCAACAACCATAGATGATATATACGATGTCTATGGTACATTAGAAGAACTAGAAGATTTTACAAGAATCATTGAAAGGTTAGCAACATCCTTATTCCTCATTTCGGACACACCCCCAACCCCAACCAATAAAAAAGTCAAAAAAAAATGAAGTCCATTTGTCAACACAATTAAAAGGTGTATGTGATTGTGAAAATTAAATAATTGGCTTATTCCATTCATCAAGTAGGAAGTTGGTTTTCAACCTTTAACAATGGGCAAGCTGGTTATTAATTTTATTTATAGTTGCAAAATTATTTCTCAAGAAATGGTTCGAATCTATTTTAAATTAATCAAAATGTGGTCCTTGCATAATCAACTTCATGAAATTAGGTTTTAATTTCTAACTAGGACTGAAGTGATGCATGTTTTTGTGAGGGCCACACACGAAGATTTTATGAAAATTATGGTTTTCATTATTGGGCGACCGGTTGTTAAACAATAATAAATGTCAGGTACGAAATAGCTTTTCTTCAAAGTTGAGGACCAAATTATTATTGGAAAATTAGATTGGTAGTCTATAGTGAAAATTTCTCTTATATGATATATTGATTTTTTTTTCTCCCCCTTCTAACTCCTATAATTTTTATTTGGTTGGAACTCTACAGATGGGATGTCAATTCAATCCATCAACTTCCAGATTACATGCAAATTTGCTATCTAGCACTCAATAACTTCGTCAATGAAATGGCTTACGACATTCTTAAAGAAAATGGGTTTCTAATAATTCCGTATTTAAGAAAAGCGGTATCATTTTTGCTTCAAAAAGTCCAATACACAATCCTAATATCAGTTTCCGTATTTAAGCCATATACAGTAATCTTTTCAAATTTGGCAGTGGACAGATTTATGCAAAGCATACTTACAAGAGGCAAGGTGGTACTTCAATGGATACAAACCAACAATGGAAGAGTATATGAACACTGCATGGATTTCAATATCAGCTCATGTCATACTATCCCATGCGTTTTTCGCTGTTACCAGTCCTATAGAGAAGGAAGCCGTCCAGTACTTACAGGATTATCCCGATTTAATCCGTTGGTCGGCAATGATTTTACGTCTTTCAGATGATTTAGCAACATCAGTGGTGCGTATATAGACTACAATTTCATTTCACGTTTTCAAGTTCATTCTTGTTGATGAAATCATCGAGGCATTAGGAATTCGAAATTAACCCTTTAAACTAACAGTTCATTTTGTTTTCTCTCTCTCAGGATGAAATGAAAAGAGGTGATGTTCCTAAAACAATACAATGTTACATGAAAGAAACTGGTGCTTCTGAAGACGAGGCACGCAAACATATAAGATCTTCGATACGTGAGAAGTGGAAAAAAATGAATAAAGTTCAAGAAACAAGTTGTCCACTCTCAAAAACGTTCATTGAAATTGCAGTGAATCTTGCGAGAATGGCACAATACATGTACCAGTATGGAGATGGGCATGGCATTCAAAATCACGAAACTAAGGATCGCATCTTAGCATTACTATTTGAACCCATTTGATGAAAATTGAGTTTTTAATTTTCTTTTAGTTATTATTTCTTTATTAAATAAATTCAGATTTTAATTCCATTTATTTCGAATTAATTCTAAATATTAGGGCTTTTAATTTTGTCATTATCTTTTAGATTAAGTAATTATCTAGATTTTAGTAACCTATCATGATAATTAGTATTTGAAATAAATATTATGTATAGAAAATTGATTATCTAACTTCAAATTATAAACTATAAACTCACATGCACATGCACATTGCAACCAAACTGAATTAGAGAATATGGTTGATTTTTGAAAAAAGGATATTAAAAACAAAATGGTTTTTTGATTAGCGAAATTATCGTCGATGATTTTTTTATATGACAACGAAATGCAAAATTATTGTTGATATTTTAAAACAATTGAGCTAGTTGAGTGCTGAAGATGATGAAGAAACATACACAAACTATTTATCCCATATAAGTTGATATCATCTTCCACGTGTTTTTTTTTTTTCTAAATTGTGTTTGATTTGGAGATAGAATTAATGACAGCGTAATCTATGGTGTATTTTGAAATTTTCAGTTACAAAATTTAAAACAGATATACACATTTAAATATGTGTAATTTTAGGGATAAGTATTTTGGGTTTTATTTTATATATTAAAAATTATATTACATATATAATACAGTATGTAGTATTTCATGAAATTATTTATTTTTAAAGTGTAGATACGATTTTTTCTGGAGAAAGGAAGCAATAAAATAAAATAAAATAAAAAATAATTCTCATCTTATATGTCACAACTTTCAGATGAACTAAAGTTAAAAAGACAAGAACGTCATAGCACATAACATTATACACAACTGAATTCACAATGTGAAAATACATACATAACATTCATCCAATGCATTCGAGGTCACACATTTTATACATTTTACATAATTCCAATGAAGAGACATATGAGGGAACCTAATTAAGTCACATTTGACACGATTTCGGAAAGAGACCTATGAAAGATTATATCAACTTTATACACATTCATCACATCTTTCCAGTGACAACAAAAAAATCCCAGAAACTTACGTTGCATAATGTAATTTCAAACATTTGATGCAATTTGATGGTTGGGATCGATAATAAATCCTTTATGTTGTGTTTTGCTTATTTTTTGTATTGTTTTTTTAATAATTTGCAATTGCAATTTAATCCTCTATGTTGTTCCAATTTGTATATCTATTTTCTGCAGTCTGAATCTTTATTTTGTTATCTTTTGAAAATTGAAATTAGGAGTGACAAAAAAACCCGTTCAACCCGATACCCGTTGACTCCGCCTCGAATGGGGCGGGAATTACCCGCCTAACCAAATAAACGGGGCGATGGTCATTATGGGGCGCGTACGGAAAACATTGTCCACGTCCCGCTACTCTCCCTGTTTAAAGTTAATTTCAAATTAAAGTTTTTTATCAAACAAAAATAATATATTTATCATCATTTTTATAGAGAACATCGTTGTTTTTAACAAATTAGTAAAAAAAAAATATTTACTAACTAAAGACATAAAAAATAAAAGCGAAAAATAAAAAGAAAAAATAAATGGGGCTGGGGTCTTGCCTCGCCCCGCCCCTCCCACCCTCATCTAGCCACGAACCCGCCCCGTCCCGCTTTAGAGTCTATATTCTCTTGTAAATCTGGGAATTTTCACCGGATTTTATTTTCTCACTACCTTTATTTAATCTGATTTTATTTGCTTTATTATTTACATCTATAAACGTAAAAACTCTCTTCATACATCACCAAACCGACTTATAGTAAATTTTTGATTGGGCTCAAAACCGACCTAAATTGACACACACCTACACTTATCGACGTCTTCAACATGCAACTTCGCTCGAATTGGAATGGCTCCGCCTTGCATTCCCCTGACATAGAGTTTACTTATCGCATAATTCACCTTTGTATCTATTGGTTAATTGTGCAATGAAATGGTTGTTTGTAATTGATAAAGTGAATGGTAAAGTTTAATTCATAGGAACGTAATTAAACTTAATATGGAATAGAAAATGAAAAGAAAGGAAGAAGAGACAAACGAGAAATCCGAGGCAAGTGATATAACACTTTTTCCTTGAGAGAAAATGTTAAAATTTGGTTGTTACCTGAATTCCTTGTTTGAAGTATTGAAAAATTTTAATTGAAGTGCACGTAAAGGAAAATTCAGTTTGAAATGCTATTGGAGTCTTATATCAAGTTGAAGTTCTATTTTGAAAGTTCATTGGGAGTTGGAAATTGGTATTGAACTTGAAGAAGAGTTTGGGATGGAGAAAACTATTTGGAAACAAAAAAAAAATTTAAATAAATAAATTTTTGGTAGAACGCCCGGCGCCACCTGACCTGTTTCGATTTTTTGCTTTCTTCTCTCTTTTTTCGTTTTGGACTCGATTTTTTGACATCCTACTTTATTAACAATTCTACTAGGAGGGTTTGGAGTTTCTATACACGTTCCTTATAAATATTAAACTCTCCTACACAATTCATAAGTGTGAAAAAATAAATTACTAACATTAAACGATCAATTGTAATTTTATCTTTTCTCCATTATTCTTGAGCCAATAAAATCTTTTAATTCCTCTACCATATTTCTTATCTTTATTATTATTCTGCTTGATCTAATACTTCATTATTTTCCATATAACTTCAACAATTTATTTTGGTGATTGGTTTTATCAAGTGGTATTCAAACAATACATAATTCTTGTAGTTCCAACATAGCTAACAGCAATCCGGGCATATTAATATTTCTTTAACAAGAGATATTTTTGGTTATTTCTTAACGCAAAATTACCCCCACAATGGTGCTAAAGGTACTTGTCTTCCAAGATACAACGTATACAAATTATTGTAGAAACACTTCAAACCACAAGTGCAGCGAACTCAAACAATTTTTCTTCTCCCTACAAAAATATCAATAAATCAACCCAATTACACACAAAGGCATGGAAGAAAAGCTTATCATGTGATCTAGCAAGTCTGGTGAACCTTCTGCAATCAAAACAAGAAACAGAGTGCACCATTAGCAAAATGACCCATTTACTTTAATTTACAATTGCCAAATGGCTTCATGATTAGCAATGAAGACACTTTCTTTTAAAAATACACTACCTGATAATGTTTTGACAATATGATTGCCATTTCAAACTTTAAGGAATTTGGTACATCAGACCCAATCTTCACCGTCGCTTTCTTTAATATGGTACTAAAGCATAAAGAGTAAATGTATTATCGTCAAAAAGTATTCTATTCATGTAATAGGCTTTTAACTAAAAATGAAATTGAATTTTTTATGTACTGGAGGTTATGGACCTTTCATTTATGAAAAGTGTGTCGAACTATTAATGAAAAACCAATTTAGTTCTGCATTCTCTTTCTACTTAATCGCATCTTCAACAACAGGTTACAGGGGAATTCACTTTAGGCAGTCTCGTGAACTGGTCAATTGCATCTTCAGCAACAGGGGAATTCACTTTCAGCTTCCAATTTATTTTTTCTCAGGAGAATAGTTTGCAGATAAGTAATGGATAATATACAATGATCACCTGCATGGATTGTTCAAAGTGGATACAATTTCTCCCATGTGTACAAAAATAAACCCCCAACCATACAAATATAGATTTCAAAACATATTCAAAGTGGAAACATCTTGGGACAAGGACTTCAGAATAGTAGTAACACGACTTCCAGCATCAAGGCTATTCGTTAGATTTCTGGAGTGTGAATATCACAAACACAGTCTCATGAAAGCTTGTTTCCACATCAATCAAGTCTTAAAACAATTCCACTGGAAATCTTTTATCTAAGTAGGCCAATAATTCCAAAGCAATTAAAGACAAAGAGATAATTAAAAAAATATATCAAACAGAGTTAAGGGAAACCTCTCTCCCCTTATCTTAGCACCGAACCAAATAAAAACAAGGAAAAAGGGGTCTAGTGTACAAAAATCACTATGCAACTCTAAAAAAAATCATTTGCCATAACTGCTGTCCTCTACAACATCTATAGTGTTGAGGCTCGAACCATTGATCTATGATGTGCTCCCAGAAGTTGGCTTAAAGCACTGTTTTGGCCGAATACGTTTTTCTTAATGGAATGCCTTTTAAGAGATGTTGACACGTGTTTTATCTCTGGCCCTTGGATTATTGCCTTGTTGGTGCGAGATATATATACGTGCATAGTGCAGATATTTTTTCACTTGGCTCTGCCTTTTGAGTTCTTCCGTCTTCTGGGTTCTTCTTGGTGTAAAAGAGATAAGTGTTCTATACTTTTCTCTTGTGCTGGAAGAACATTTTAAAACTTGTTGCCATTTTTGGGCTTAATAGTGCATCCAAGCAGATATTCAATATTTGGATGCTCAACGGGGGATGCAGGCATTAGATTCGATTGCCAAACTTCTGGGGGCTTAGGCCGAAATAATTCTTTGTGTTCAATTGTTAATTTTCTGCAAATTTATTTTCTAATCTATTTATGTTTGGTGAAATCTTGTTTTAATATCGTGTGTTGTGGGCCTTTTCAGTGGTATTAGAGCTTGAACTGTGAAGAAGATACCTGGATCTTCGCAGAAAGAGTTCGATCTATTGTACATCAAAAATTTTTGGAACTGTTGCTAAGCAAGTATTAAAGATATCGAGTTTTCTGTAAACTCAATAGGTGAGATCTTTTATTTTTTGTAAAGTTCCTTTTTTCAAAAATTAGGGTTCTGCGATTTTTACCCTGATCTACTATACACCTTAAACCCCCTGGAGACTAATTTTTATCCAAAGACTTATACGAGATCTTGGGAATGTGAGATAAATCTAATACGGGTGTGTCTACAAAACATAGACTTTCTGATCTTTGTTATTGTGTTCTTTATATGTGTTTGCACAGTATGTTCCTTGATTGTAATTGAAACTTAAAAATCTTGTATTACTAAGTGTACTACTGTGATTGTTTAACTGTAGTAATTTCTGTGAGTTCCTGACTGTGCTTTGCT